TACAGTTTTTATTGAACAAATCTGCATATAAGTGGACTAACGCAGTTCAAGCCTGTGTTGTTCAAGGGCCTTTGCGGTTCCGTGTATGAGTCCAGCACTGTTGGTGGGTGAGGCTGTTTCTGTGCATCGGGTCACCTGTGCTCCTTTGTCCGAATCACTTGAGTGTGTGACCAGGTCTCGTCTAGCTTGCTCGTCTGCCGTCCATCTGAATGTCTGTTCTTTGGCCAGTAACATGCTGTCTTAATTATTGCCGTGTTTTGTCTTATAGTGCATCTTGTGTTCTGTAACAAAATAATTCAGCTGCTTTTGTCCCCAGATCTTGTGTGGGAGCCTGTACATCTTTGGAATTTCCCACATGATAGGAGTGTCTTTGTTTATTGTGGGCCCTTACAGTTTATGCTAATGAGGTGACCGGGATGGGTGTGGGCCACACACAAAGAAAGCAAACGTGTAATTAGGGTTGGGGTGTTGAGTGTGTGACATTAGTCTGACTCCTGGGGAACGGAGGGAGTAGACTCGCATGAGGCCAGTGATTCCACCAGCTGTGCCTGTGCGATGAAGCTTGTGTAAACACTGGACACTGACTCTAGCCGGGCATCGCTGGTTGGCACTCTCGTCAGTGTGCCGCAGGGCAGCCTGTCTGACTTCACAGGAACAGACGTGGGAGCTTCGCCTTTGGGACCATATCAGACCTGCCTGCCTGTCTCTTCTTTTGGCTGGTTGTGATTTACACCTTTTATTTCTGTAATCAAACCAGTCATTCAGTATACTGCTTTCCTGAATCCTGTAAGTTGTTCTAGTGAATTAGTGAGCCCGAGGGAGTAGTGGGGACCTCCCAGTTTGTCAGAAGTGCCTGTCCTGGGAACCCCTGAGCTTCGGCAGGTCTCTCCCTTGTGAAGTGTCCTAGCTCTGGGCGGTCAGAAGTCATTGTAGTTCTCATCAGAAGGAGAATTTGCTAGATCAGCCGACTCACTGAAACGTGTGGTTGGAAGAGAAAAGGTGAAAGGGAGAGGCGAGCAGATGATTTCTGGGGGGCTGTCTAGCCTCTCAGGGTGTGGAACCGCCGCTGCTGCGTCCTTGCTGGGGGCAGGGCCCGTGGGGCCGCTAGAAAGGAGGGTGGAGCCAGCTTCAGGGAGCGTGCGAGGAGGTGCAGAATGACAAGAAACACGCTGAATATGCGTGCTTGGTCGTTGTTACCTGTAGTGGCAAAAATGAAAGAAAGAGAGAGACTGGTCCTGATGCTGGGCTGAGCTTAGGGTTCAGTCCTCCAAGCTGCAGCGGGCAGTCTTGACGCTACCCCAGCAGGAAGGGTATTCTAGGACAACAGGCAGCGGTGTCACGACGTCTCACCTGAGCTGCTGTTAGGAATGCAGTAGTAGTCCCTTTGTGGGGATGGCAGAATGAGAAGCCACTGGAACGGGTTGTGTGCCAGGGGGTTGTCCCTATTGTGGCTCGGTGTCATCAGGTTCCGGGAGAACATTACTGAGAGGGATGGCGAGAGGGAGCAGTTCAGGCCAGTGCCCTGGCTTGCAGACTAGAGCACGGAGGAGTGCGGCTGGGCTGAGGCAGGAGGCCGAGAGCCCTGGCCGCACTGTGGTCAGGTGCTGGTGGAGGTTCCCACAAGCAGCCTTGCGTGCTTTGGCCTTTCCTGTGATGCTAAGTAGGTAGACTTTTTCTGACATGACATTTTGCTTATTATGAATACACTATGTCCTTATTACAGGAAAAGCCAAAGGGACGTCAAGAGCATAAGCACATATTATCTTACATAATGGGAGATTATACAAGTTTCTTTGCTTTATCATCACCTAGATATTCACGTGCTTTCTGCATGGAAGATGGCACCACACTGTGCGCATGTGATCTGCTTCTCCCCCACCCCCACTCACAGAAGGGCTTCTTTCCACACGACTGATTACACTTCCGAAACTTTATATGTAGTGATTTATTGCTGATTGTTAACTTGAGACATAAACATGGGTGGTTTTTCCTCCTCCCTCTGTGTAACTAATGCTAACTGTTCCCTTTCCTTTTCCACTGGACTTTGTCCGTGACTTTTCTGAGTGATGGGCCACTCGGTCAGTGCAGTCCCGTTGTCAGAGGCCGAGCGCCTCCGAGCAGGGTGGCAGTGCTCCTCATGCTGACCGGGGTGTCCCAGCAAGCCCTGCCCTGGACCTGGAAGAGGAGGTCCTGGCACGGGCTTCTTTGTGTCCCACTTAGTTGTCAGATCCAGCTGGGCCCCAGGTCGTCAGCTCTCACATACGCTCATGCACACGGGACTGTCAGACGCTTCTACGTGGCATGTGATCCTGGGGGCTAAAACTACGTCAGTCATAATGCCTGTTGCAGACAATGAGAAAATACAGGTGCTCTAAACAAAAGCAGAAGAAAAACTTATAATTCTAAACTAGAGGTTTTCCTTGTTTTGGTTTCCTTCCAACTTTTTTCTGTGCAGATTATACAATGTGTTTTTCATAAAATGATAATTTTATGATAGTTAACAGATGTAGTATTCTAGATTTAATTTTTTTTTTTTTTTAGTTAATATCTAGATCTGTTCAGTGGAAGAAATGTATTTTATCTTTTAAGATGAAAAACATGTTGTGTTCATACTGATACTTCCCACTCATATTCAGGAACATAGAGATTTTATTTAATTTTATTGTTTTATTTACATTTTAATTTTCTTGGTCCTAAGATGAGAATCCATTTTCCAGCAAACGCCAATATAACTTCTTGCATTTATACCTGTGCATACACAGCCATCAGAATAACAACACCAGCACACTGTCCAGATTAAATTACTGAACACAGTTGGAGGTTCCTCCCCTACTTGAGATAGCTTCTGAGTGTCCTGCTGTCACCTAGGTACACAAGTAGGTTCATTTGTTTTAACTTAATTATTGACTTATAAGGATTTATTGACACATTCTTTTTAAGAGGAAAAGATTAAAACAGCCCTTGCCGGTTTGGCTCAGCAGTTAGAGTGTTGGCCCATGGACCAAAGGGTCATGGGTTCGATTCCCAGACAAGGGTATGTACCTGGGTTGCAGGTATGATCCCCGGCCCCAGTCCATGGTCATGGGGGAGGCAAACAATCCATGTGTCTTTCTCACATGGTGTTTCTCTCTCTCCTCCCTCTCTTCCACTCTAAGAATCAACAGAAAAATGTCCTCAGGTGAGGATTAACAACAACAACAACAAAATATTAAAACAACCCAGTCTGTTTTTCCCCAATTACTGTCTTTCCATCTCTATAAATATATTTCTATTATCTTTTAAAAATAAAAAGATATGACTGTATCACATTTTCTGTTTAACCATTTTTCTATTGGGCTTTTGGCTATTTCTACATTTTTGCCATTCTGAACATTGCTGCAATAACCATACTTATACATACATTTTCTGAAAATGTTTATTTCTAAGGCATAACTTCTTAGGAAGGAAGAATTTACCTTTTTAAAAAAGCTCTTACGAAATTTTGACAAATTGGCCTCCAGAAAGTTTACATGAATCTGACCCCATCTGGTTACAGATGAGGTCTAGCTTCCTCTCAGCTGTGGTGAGTCGACTGTGTTCACTTTCTTTCCTACATGGTATTTACTAGTCTTTTCTTTTGTACTTATTTTGTGATCTGTCCCTATGGCTTTTGCCAATTTTTTTCATATTCATCTTTTTTCTTGATTTTTAGGAAGACTATGTAGTAAGGACAGAAAGAGGTTTTATGAAATACCTCTTTCTTGTGCCAGGGTTAAATAATTATCCAGACCTTTTAAAAAAAAATTACACTTATTTGAGTTATTTTTAGTCCGCAGTGGATCCTGGAAGGGATCCATTTCAACACAAGATTTAAAAGATGTGAGTAGAATACCTGACATAGGAAACAATTCTAATTTATTCGTATTAATCTGTAGTAAAGTAGATATTCCCCTTTTATAAGAGTTTTCCAAGGGCATAATCTCTAAGTCATTTAAAAATGTGTGGATCTGTGCCCTCACACACACATATGAATCAGTAATGAGTCAGTTCTTAGATTAAAAGGGTCCACTGGCGGCTATAAGTCAGACTGAGTTTGTTACCGTAAACTTAGTTTTGTTTACTTTGTTATTTAGACTTTAGAACAAGAGTCTTTGCAAGCAGAGCGTTACTTCTCTGAGACTAGGTGGTAGCTAGCACAGATAGCACGCAGGAGGGGCCACTAACAGTCTGACTGCTCCAACCCTGTTTCAGAAATAGTGGATTGAGGCAAACAAAACAAGGGGGTGGCGGGGTGCTGAAGGTAGTAGGCAGGTGTGGTACCGGAAGGGCATGGAGTGATCTCATCATTAAAGAATTATTTTGTTATTTCTGCATAAACTGTCCAATCCTTAGAGATAATAAAATAAAACCTCCCACACCAAATATGAATAAAATTATTATTTTTATTGAATTTATTGGGGTGACATTGGTTAATAAAATTACATAAATTTCAGGTGTACAATTCTCTAGTGCATCATCTATATATTATATTGTGTGTTCACCATGCCAAGTCATATCTCTTTCCATATTATTTTTGATTATTCATGTTATCGGGGAAGTTGCTAAATGTATGGAATCACCTGTATTCATATCCTGTTTTGACCAGGTGTTTAGGCTCACTGTGCATTAAATTCATCATATATAATATGGCAGTTATACTAGTCACGAAATCATAGGATTATGTTGAAAATGAAAATTAAATAAGTTAATGTTTGTAAAATGCTTCGAACAATATCTTTCAGTGTGTAAGTTTTTCAAAATAAAAATCTGTTGGGGAGGAAGGCTGGGGAAGGATGTTACAAATAGCTTAATCAGGTAAAGCAACTGAGTCTATTTTTTTATTTAAGAAATTTATTTCTAAAATTTATTCTTACAACACAAACATTGAGTAAATTCAGATTATCATATAGTCCTGTTTTGGAACTAATGATTGGACACATCCTTTCGCTGGATTATAGCATTTTTACTGCTTCTATTCACAGGATATTCTGAATAATCTTGACTCATGTGACCTGGAGGATGATGACCTTATGCTTGATGTGGACCTGCCTGAGGACACAGCTCTCGAACATGGTAAGTGGGGCAGTGTTGGACCTTCAGAGGCATGTAGTTGAGCTACTTGACTATAAGCGATTTGATATTTATTTTTTATAGACTTCCTAATCTTAATGGAGGAAGACTTTTTAGACTGAGAATCAATCTTTTTTTTTTTTTTAATTAAAAAGCATTTAATGGTATCCGACACCCAATTTTTATTTAAAAAAAATAAAAAAATAAAAAAAGAAACAACCCCATTTAATATGAGATGTATACCAGTACCCTATATATAAAACATCGTGCTGAGGTCTGGAAACAACCCAAGTGTCTGTCAGTAGATGAGTGGATAGAAAAGCTGTGGTACATGTACACAATGGAGTACTATGCAGCTGTAAGAAAGAAAGATCTCTTATCCTTTGAGATAACATGGAGGGACCTGGAGAGTATTATGCTAAGCGAAACAAGGCAAGCAGAGAAAGACAAATATCACTTATTTGTGGAATATAATGAATTAAACAAACTGCTGAACAAAATTAACCCAGAGACATAGAGGTGGTGGGGTACAGGTTGACAAGCCTCAGAGGAGGGGGGTTGTGGGGGAAGGGATCAACCACAGAACTTACATGCATGTACGCATGACCAATGAACATAGACAACAAAGCTGGGGATGGGGTGGGGGGGAAGGGGAGGAGAGGGTGTCAATGGGGGAAAAATGAGAAACATCTATAACAAAAACAAATTAATAAAAAAACAAACAAACAAAAAAAACCAGAGAGCATTAGCAGGCATCTTCATCTAGTTCCTGACTTGGGAATATTTTTAGTTGTTCACCATTGACCATGATGTTTGATATATAGAGGGCACTGGTAGAGAATCAATCTTAAATGACGTTAAATAGGGTCATTGCAATTTTATTTAAATGTTCGAAATAATGTAGGTAAGGTCTTAGATATAATTCTGTATGAACCAGTAATATTGTATACCTACACCGTAAAATAAGTGGTAGGTAGATTTAGCTTTTTTCCCCATATATACATACCCAATTTTTCCTCCCTTTTTCTCATTTTTATTTTAAGAAGAAATACATTTAGAGAAACAGATAGCATATGACTTGTGAAATATCAGTAAAAAAAAAATCATTAAGTTGGTAAATATTTTTAAAAGATTAACTCTGGGAAAATTGTGACCTGACCAAAGCATTCCACCCTTATAATTCCCAAGTCCAGTCTGTCTTCCTCTGTGGACCCCAGTAACTACTGGAGTGGGGCTTCAGATACCCTATATGCAAAAGGGGTCTGGGTGCGCTTGTCCCCAGTGACACAGCATTTGTCGGGTATTCTCTCTGAAGGACTGGTCAAGAACCAGAGACCAGCCTAGGAGAGCCCCTAGGACGAAGTTGGGATGGGGATCCTCTTGGGAAGAGGAATAGCTCCAGAGATCTGTGGACGCCCTGCCAGTTGGAATTTGTCTGGTCTCCTCGGCGTCCCAGGGACAGGGATGAACCGAAGAGGCGGTGACGGTAGAAGAATGCAGGTGTTTCAAGAGGGGCAGGTGTCTGGCTCAGTGCCTCACTGAGGTGCTGTGAGCCTGTTTCTGCTCACACTTGTCATATTGATCAGGCGTTTTGTGGTGGTTTGTTTTGTTTTTGTCCTGCCATGATGCTCTGTGACAGTCCATCTCAAAATCTCAGTGGTTTTCAAAATAGCCACTTACTGTTCTCATCCATGGATCTGTGGCTTAGCTGGGACAGCTTAGGCTATAGGACTGAGTTCAAGTCTACGTGTTTTTCATTTTGCGACCAGAACTACTTGGAGCAGGTTTCTCTCACGGCAGATGGAGGACAACAGGGTTAACAATATGCCCTCCTCACTAAGAACCAGCACACTGTTAACCCTACACTAGTAGGACTGGGAGGTCCACACTGTTTACCATGAGAAGCTCTGCAGTGGAAGACGTTCAGTGTATAGTTCTGTTAAAAGAGGGAGTGATGAGCTGAGAACAGTGTCCACTCCACCGCTGGGGTAGAGACTATTGCACCTTCTTGTGGTTTTGCTGTCACTTGGGATACTCCAGCCAAAGCCGAGTTCCAGTCAACTGAGAAAGAAGAATCACAGCTAACACCCAGGGAGGAAAACAGGGAAACAGCAGAACTCCCAGAATTAGAGGGGCCCCAGGAGATGATGCCGAGCGCACAGCGGAGGGCGTGCAGCACAGTGCTCTTTGGAGCTGAGGAAGGTCTCCCCACAGAACAGCCCGAGATGACAAAGAACAGCTGCTGTCGAAATCTGAGTTAGTGGCCTGGGAGATCAAGTAGGAAAAGATTGTAGAACACAGAAGGAAAACATAAAGCATTGAAAATGATAGGCTTCATGACCCAGGGTATTTAATGTGACGTTTCGAGGGCTGAGGAATGAGAGACTGAGGAATGAGGGATTGACCTCCTTGGAATAAATCACATCCTAAAGAGTGCATTTTACTTGGACAGAATTAAAACCACTTCTCTTTGGAAACCATATACCCCCTTGGTTAGCTGAGCAGGACGTAGAGAGACGGGTCGGTCTTAGAACTAACTGCCTCTTCTCTGAGCACAACAGGAAGTCGTCCACACACTGGATAAAAGTGGGACCCCAGGGGGCTTCACAGCTTTGAGGTGTTGGCTGGGGACTTGTGAAAAGTCCAAGGGAATTCCTGAGGTGTGTCTCATATATCACAGATTTTCCTAGATGCAAACAAGTATGCACTATGTTGAGCTAATGGACACTGAAGAAAGCAGATCATGAATCTAGAATATGTTGCTTTCAGAGGCACCAAAGATAAAGTCGTCTATAGGTCTGGCCCTGCCAGGATGCAGGGAGGGATAATCTTGATAGCTCTGGGGTCCTGGATGACACTATACCCTCCCCGTTTTCTTGATTGGGAGGATAGGAATGTTATGAGGACTGGTATGAGGTTTAATGAATCTTGTAATATACTTTTGACTGTTGTTTTTTGCATCCTGGTTTTTGAGGCTGTTACGCAAATTTGGGTCAAGTTTTTGGATGGGTCAATGAACCTTGATGGGTTCAGCCCACTTATTCTGCCAACATAGGTAGAATTTTTGCCAATAAGAAGACTGGCACCTTGTTGAGATCTTCAGTTTGAACACCAGTTTGCCATGACTCCATTGTGAATAGGGGCTCTTCTGTGATGTCAGAAGAGAGGCCATGACAACATTTATCTGTGATGTCAGGAGAGAGGTCATGAGAACGTGTATCTGTGATGTCAGGAGAGAGAGGTCATGAGAACGTGTATCTGTGATGTCAGGAGAGAGGTCATGATAATGTGTATCTGTGATGTCAGGAGAGAGGCCATGAGAACGTGTATCTGTGATGTCAGGAGAGAGGCCATGGGAACAATTACCTGGTGACTGCGGGTGTGCAGTGGACCGTCGCCTGCTGAGCCAGCACACATGGTAGCACGGAGAAGGAGCGGATGTTTGTTGGTCGAAAGTATCTTGGACAGATACAGGGCATAGCTGAGAACTGTGAGAGAGTTATTGGCAGAGCCACATTTCAGTGGCTTGGTGACATGGCAGGTTACGTGCAAATGGTGGGTTGCTATTGTAGTATCGGTATCAACAGAACATTTGCAAGGTCTCCCTTTAATAATTAGAGAAATCTATCTTTGAGTTTAAGGGTAAAACCAGAAATGGGGTGCTTGATTTCTTCCTCAGAACACTTTGATTTCATCATCCACTTAAGTTTTTCTATTTTATTTATTAATGCAATATAGCATATTTATTTTTTAATGCCTTGCTATTTATAGTATCTATAAATGTATTAAAAATTGTTTTTCCTCCTGTATTTAACTGAGTGTGGTGGAGGCATCTTGTTATATGTGAAGGACATTATTTTATTCTGCTTTTTTCTAATGCTCTTTCCAAGCACTGGAGGTCTGGCAGTGAGGCTGTTTACAGTGCTTCTGCCTTAAAATCTTTCCCGGAAAGTGAGGAGAACGATAGGGTCACCTCTCTTTCAGAATCTGCTCCTGAATGTTATCTGGTGATGTTAGTCCACCCTTGAAGTCTGCAGTGGGTTTATCATTACAGAACTGAATCAGAGCCCAGTCTGTGTTCATGGAAAATACTTTGTCGACAGCCTTGGAAAGGCCTTTTCTAACCTCTTTTGGTTATTTATGCAATTGAGTTCAGGACACACTACCCCAAAATATGTCACCTTGGCATATTGAATATTTTAAGCTGAAAGAATGTAAGAAGATGGCAGAAGGGGAAGTCACCCTAACCTCCTTTCCCTCTCCCCCTTTTCCCTGAAACTGCTCGTAAAACTCGTGTGTGAGAATTGCCCTATACATCCTTTTCTCTGAAGACAAACGCACACCAAGGAGAATCCTAGAAAACAGGCCCTGATGAGTACCCGTCGGCTACAATGATCTAATATCCTTAAGCAGTCATGTTCCTTTATGACTGCCCAGTCTTCATCAGACCTCGCATCAAAATGTACAGCTCTAATGGTTTCTTTGGGTCTTGATTTTCTTATGAAGGCCTCATGCTATGTATTATGTTAAATATATTTGTATGCTTTTCTCCTGTTAATCTGTCTCGTCAGTTTAATTTTTAGACCCTAAGATGGTTGAGAAAAACTTTTTCCTCCTCTACATGATCAGTCACAGCTTCCTTAGTTACCTTTAGGTTCTTCACATTGTGCTTTTTCCGTTCTGTGTTTTATACCTGGAGTTCCCGCCACTGCATGAACTTAAGGGTGCAGGTCTGGGCTCTGGGTTCTCAATCTCTGACACTGTTCTGAATCACTCTGAACATTCCTTCTAGTCCTGCTTAGACCTCCACAAGTATGTAGCCACGGATCTTAGCTCAGGTCTTGAGAAGAAAACCTTGAGGGGTTTTAACCCTCTTGGGAAGGATATTTAACTTGGAAGAGGTTTCTGGTCAGCTTCAGGGGAGGTGAACCATCCAGGGGGAGATGGGGCAGAGAGAATGCAAGGCACGCAGAATGAGGGAAGAGGAATGAACGGAGAAAGTACTTGTAGTTTGAGTTGCCGTTTGGGGTGATGTAAAACAAAAATTGTTTTAATTCTTCTGTATTTTTCTTTTACCTTGATCAAGCAGTCTCTTAAGGAAATAATTTTAGAATCTGACTTTATTTGAGGAGACCATTAGTTTGAGATTTGTTCTGGTTTTGTCCTACATGACCAGTGTAGTGATGTCCACCAGTGGTTATTGGCACCAGTTCGAAGCCAGCAGGAGTCCCCAGTTTGAGATGTGGTGCAGAAGGAAGCTGTTCAGTGCAAAGCAGCTGAGCTGTGCGCAGAGTGGCTGTGCAGACACAGGCTGGGGATCCTCAGCTGAGACACAGAAGACAGCAGCGGTAGGACAGCCCCGGGCCAGGCCCCTCGGGCCAGAAAGACAGGCAGCTCGGCTCCGCTCCTCAGGGCCTGCGCTGCTCTGGAGGCATTTTCTTGCTCCCGCTCTGCCAGGGAGACAGTCTTCAGACTCAGGTGAAAAGGGAAAGTGCACTCTAGGAGCCAGAGGGGGAGCTGGCTTATGTGGGCAGGGGTCCCAGCCCTTGGTCCTTAATGGTTTGTCCTCATGGAAATGAGGAGTCCAAATCCTCACAGTTTGATTGGTCCAAAAAGCACTGTCCTGATTGGTCTGAATAGAGATGTTCTGATTGGCTAGAGTTGCACAGCTCTGATTGAACAGGGACATCTGATTGGTTCAGATGACAGAAACAGTGCAGGCCAGAAGTTCAGCACAGACACGGGCAGTTGTGCGGGCCTGCAGGGTGCGGTTTGTGAGTAGACGGCTGCTGGGCTCGGTGTTTGAAAATTTGAGTCCAGTTAACCACCAGGAGCCCTTCTTAGTAGATATCCCCCACCCCCACCCTGGTTTCACAGTTATATCAAGAGCACTGTTGTACTGCATATTCTCTTGCTCAAGAACTTTTAATAGTCCCTCATTAAGCCTGGCATTTGGCACATTCACAGTATAATACTCAGGCTTATGAATGTCCATCACGTATCCCTTCTCACATGTGCTGCTTCCCGACCTACTCACTCTGGTTTTGAAGTTACTTGTGTTGAAAGATGTCTGATCTCACCCACCAAGTTACGGTGCCTGTTAAATTGCACAATTCATGTTATTTTTCCTAAGGCCACATTTTTGCTAAACTTTTTATTGAGGTATTGTCATATGAGATTAATAGTATTGTCCTTGACTACTTTCCAGTTGTTACTGTATTTTCTTCTGGAAATTTATTTATATTTTGGAATACTAACTGTGTTTAGGAATAACAAGGTTCGTGATTTTTTTATTTTACTTGAGCCTTTCTTCTTTCAAGCCAAATTTTAGCTGAAAGCTTTCCTGATTGGATTATAAAACCTCCCCCAAAGCACATATTTTTCAGGCTTTGTGATGTGTGATTTGTTCTCAGTACTTCATCACCAGGTGTCAGTCACAGATGGAAACACTGCCTGTGTTTTAGGACAGGCTACCAGAGAAGTAATCTAGGTGACATTTGATGTCATATTCTGTTCCGTCATCAAACCAGAGGAAGTGGGCATGAGGGGTGTTAGACGTAGTGTCCCCACGTGCACACTCTTCAGGCAGCTGTACCAGATCCTCCTCTGCTCTTCAGAGCGCAGGATCCTTGTATTACCCCTGTTTCCTACTCATGATATAATGATAACGAAGAACACCCAGCAGTGAGCATTCTTTCACATTTGGAGCTGGGAGCCTTCAGAAGGCCTAATCCTCTAGCCCTGAACTCATAGTTAGGCCGGGTCTGCTGTGTGCAGGTAGTTTTGATCAGCATATTGGGTTAAAACGTTTTCAAACTAGGATGCCTTTAGGTTTGCCCCATAATGTCCTGTGGTATCACATGTTCAGAGGGGTTTGTTTTCTTTCTTAGTCTTGTTTGTCCTATTTGTTCATTGGCTCTGGAAACTGATTTTGATTTATCTCCATTTTGTAATTTGATTTGCTATCATTTTCTTTCAAGGTTATTTTTTTAATTCTGTTTGAGAACTCTTAACCTCTTCTAAGAAACCACCACTGAGGTTATTTCACATTATCTTCTTAGTAACATTTTGAAGTGAGTAAACACGTGATTGACGGGTGCCGCAGACAGAAGTGTGAGCAGGACCTTCCTGCGGTCTTGCCACAGTCTCTCTGAGAAGTAAGCCCCGCCTCAATCTACCAGTCCTTTTGTGGTCATGACAACTGTTTGTTTCTAGTACTTTTTGCCATCATGTCCATGTTTGTGTTCATATTTCAATTAAGGTGCATTGATTTGAAGGCAGTGTGTAGTACCAGCAGTCTCTAGCAGACAGGAAGGCAGCACATCAGTGACTGCCTTGTGACTTCCTGCAGTATCCACCTGTCTCCTGGCCTGTGTGCCGCTTGTCACTCTGTGTGCCTGTGTCGGTGTGCTAAGTACACGTCAGGTTCTTACTCTTAACAGAATTTCTTGTGTAGGGAGTAACTGAATTTTACCTGCCTGAATTAAGACAAATGAATTCGGAACATTTAAAAGTAGATATAGATCATCCCTCAGCTGTATACAGTTGCTTAAAGTAACAGTTTAATGTCGTGTAGGAATGCTTAAGGAACTTAACCAAGTCTGAGTATTATACAGATATGAGCTAAACACAGTTTTAAGCCTTCTAGGGTTATTTTTAATATAGTTTTCTTTTGCAATTTCATTTTCTACTAATGATTTTTATTTATTTATTTATTTTGCATAATGAGCACCATGCTTTTATTTATCTTAACAGCCTAGTTTTCTAGAATTGAACTTAAAAAAATAGATTTTAATTTATCTCAATAAGCTGACAAGAAATTGTTTGAAATAATTTAAAATGTAAGCTGCCTTTAACATTTTTATCATTAAAAAAGTATTTTTTAAAAACTATAAAACATAGTTTCCCCTCCAAAATTGATTCCTCTAATGAATTTAAATATAATTTCATTGTCTTTTAAAGCCTTATTTAAATTGTTATGCATTTAGAAGAAATATGTTACAGTGAGAATTGAACATCTATACATCAGTTTTTCTGGAGTGGGAAAGTTTGTTTTTTATCTTGTGTACTGTAATGAAACATTTGGTATTTCAAATTTAAGTTTTAAGTTTAGTGAAAACAGTCATTTTACATACTGTAATGAGGTTTGTTTTGTTTTTAAATTGGGGATTACATTGATTTTTAAAGTTGTTTTGTTTTTATCACAAGGAGTTCTGAACATGCAGGATTTGAACTTTCTCATGTAGTAATTCTCAGACTAGAGACCCTTTCCTGTTCCTGGCTTGGCCCAGCGCGGAGTTGTATTTTTAGTAACAGTCCTAACCCAGCCGCTATGCGAGCCGAGGGAAGATGGAGTCACAGGGTGAGCTGGGCTTGCTTCCCACAGGGAGGGCTGGGGCCTGAGCAGGAAGGAGCCTGCTTGTCAGCGCCCCGGGCAGCTATGTTCGAGTAGGAAGCAGCGACACAGCGTCTCCCTTGTACAAAGTAACCTCATAGTGAGTGCTCAGATATGTGAGGAAAGTGTTCGGGTAAGTGAAGCAGAAGCTTAGGGTGTTTCAAAGAGATTCTCTTCATGTTTCTGTGGCATTTGAATTTCAGGGAGTGTACTGTTTGTTGATCAAAAGTACTGGCTTTGTTTTCAGTGCATTATAGACTGTTGACAGGCTCCGCTGCAGGCAGAGTGGCCGCCTTTCTAACGCTGAGCTTAATTTAAACAGTGGTTCGTTTGTGATGAAAAGTTAACTTGTGCTTTTTGAAATCAGGGAATATTAATTGTGACATTCATGTTTAGGAATGAATTCTCTACCAGACTTAAAAATTGTCTACTTTTTCTTGCATTTTCATTCTGAAATCAGAACCAACTAGTGAGAATGATGAGAACCACTTAAAACTGATTACTGGTGTTTAAAATGTATAATGTTGATTTCAAATCTATAATTTGCTTGTTTTAAAACAGTGGGGCCATTACTTATTACTTTAAGTGACTGTGATGTGGAAGTTTTATAATTTACTTCAGTTTGAATGATATAAACTTCAGTTTTTACCAAAAGAACTGGTTACTTTTCTTCTGAAAATCTTGATTTTGTGATTAGCTAACATAAATGATTGGTATTTTTTAGAATATTACTTTTATATTTTCAGCTGCATTTAATGATCAAGCTCTAAGTACTTAACTTTTATAGAGTATGTACATGTTTATAGTGTTTTGCTTTTGAATCTGCCTAGTGGAGTGTGACAATATGAATCGCTTTGATCGATCAGACAGAAATGTTCGGCAGTCTCCGGAAGGGTTTTGGAAAAGGCCACCCCAGAGGTGGAGTGGACAGGAACATTACCACCTCAGCCATCCTGACCGCTATCATCACCATGGGAAAAGTGACTTGAGCAGGTGAGTCTAGTTTTCTATCTTTTGATTAAGTTTGAGTCATCATTTCCCCTTTATCTCTCTACCTCCTTCCCCCCGAAAATCTTTTTTATTTTTTTTGGCCTGGTTTTTAGAAAAACCAAAAAAAAATTAGAATAATATATCTAATTTTTCTCCTTTTGGCCCAAATCTTTTTCATTAACTTTATCATGAATATAAATATTTTGTTTATGTGTGCTATTTGGACTTTAAGTTTTGGTGTGGTTTTCTAGTTCTCATTTGGGAATGATTAAATGTTGACTTTGTTAAAGTTTATTATTTTTTAAATACTAATGTAAAATTAGTGCCAAGTGATTTGTCTTCTTTTGTGTATATAAATTAAAATTTAAAAATTTCTCAGGCACTGTTAGAAACAGAAGGCACTATGCACTGCTAGAACCCTTCTCTCTTTGAGCCAGCCCCTCACCTCGGGTGGGCGTGGCTCTGCAGTCGGTGCCTGGAGCAGCCCGCGCCCGCACTGTGCTGCCAGGGCTCTGTGAGCACAGGTGCCTGCTCGCCCTCCCACTCGGTTCACCTGGTGCCGCGCGTCAGCCACAGCACCTTTCTCACAGCCCCAGGACCCGGTCTGCTCAGCACCTGTTAGATATTTTCCCTCTTCCTCTCTTACCTTGTTCTGCTGGGCTGGAGGTCATTTTGGAGCTAATATGCAATACAAACAATACAATTGGGATAAAGAAACAGTGGGAGGGAAACACATGGCCTCATGTAGTTCTTGAAGTAGAAGAAAAGCCTCCAAGATTCCTTGCAGCAAAAGCGAAGAACAAAACTCGGTCTGTTTACAAGGGTTCCAGTGTACGTAAGATGAAGGGCATGTTTCTCTTGAATTAATTGCTTTCATGAGACAGAAACATGAAAAGATGGTTTTGTATGCATTCTTTTTTTTATCCTCACCCAAGGACATTCTTCCATTTCTTGTTCAGATGGAGTGGGAGAGAGAGAGAGAGAGAGGGAGAGGGGGGGGGGAAGAGAGAGAGAGAGAGAGAAACATCAACGCGAAAGGGACACATCGAGTGGCTGCCACCCACACAACCTACCAGGGCCAGGGACACACTGCAACCGAGGTACGCGCCCTCAGCGGGAACCGAACCCGGGTCTCTCCAGACCGCAGGCCGACACTCTAAGTGCTGAACCAAACCAGCCAGGGCTGTGTGCGTTCTTATAAGGAAGATGCCTTGTGAGACAGTGGACAGGTCTCAGACAGCTTCCCAATGTGGAAATAATGGCAAATTCCTTAAATCCATTTCTTCCTTATACTCTTCAATGTAAGCTATAGAGAACTCTGGTTGCATAGTGGTCATGAAATGATGTTCTCCAACTAAAGCCTTTCTGTTGGTCTAATTTGATGCAAAGATAAAATTGAGAAGATCTGAAAAAATGCGTGCAGTACAAACACTTCATTCTGACCTGTTTCTCACAACTGGGCTCTTGATAAGCAGTGGACGTCAGAGTTGGTATCGGCAGGCAGACCCTTAGTCTTCATTGCTAATGATGAAGGTTTGGCTTCCCTCATCTTTGATTTTTTTTAAATAAGAAAATAATTTAAGGCCAATGTGAAAATTTAGAAGTCTATCTAAAACAAGAACCATTGCTTGTGCTTTAGATAAGATTTATTCATCCATTTCACAGATAGTCATTGCCCCAGTGTAACACGTTGAGCTGGGTGCTCAGTTCCTGGGCTGGGGTGAGTGGGTGCCGCGCGAGGCCGAGAGCTGTGGGTCGCTGACAGCTTCCCGCAGCCTTGCTCCGAGGGTAACGCAAGCTGTGCGGGGTGCAGGGTGCGGGCTCGGGTGGACTCCCTGCCCTCCAGGTTAGGTGGGCGGTTCCTGCGCCCTTCCGCCCCACACAGAGGAGCAGGCACTTGGTGCTGACAGGATCCCGTCTGCGGGACAGAAGGGTGAAGCTCAGCGCAGAGCTCGCGGGCGCCGGAGGGCACTTGCCCAAGTGGCGGCCGCAGGCGCCTCTGCCTGGGTGGTGCTGGCGGAGCAGGTTGCTGCTGGGCGGATGCGCTCGGCTGTCGAGGCTGCAGCGCGTGCTTAGGTGGAAGGATGCGTGTTCGGTGGGAGAATGGCGTGTGCAGAGCCATTTATGAAATGATGTGGCATTTTCAGAGAACTGTACGTTTAGAGCTGGATTGCTAGGTCATTTGGAGGAATGAATAGCTGTGATTTCTAACTCTAGAGAGAAAAATTATCTATTGATTTTAAGATAAAGAGTGACAAATTTCAGCTTAAAGTGAGAGGCTATTAATCAGACCATTCAGAATGGAAGGAATTACCCAGAGTTAGTTATCTCTGACCCCGGGACTGATGGAGCCTGAGGCTGATGAGTTTATCTGTCAGAAAAGTTAAGCAACATTTTCCCAAAACTATATTCCTGGTGTTAGGTATAGATAAGAGAAATTCTCTGATCAAATGAGTGTAGGAATGAACAAATTAAAGTTAAATGAGGTGTTTTGTTTTTTTTTAATCCTCACCTGAGGATATTTTTCCATTTATCTTCAGATAGAGCTGGAGGGAGGGAGGGTGGGAGAGAGAGAGAAACATTTGTGTGAGAGGGACACATCGATTGGTTGCCACTCACATGACCCCAACCAAGGCCAGGGACGAACCACAACCAAGGTACATGCCCTTGGCCGGAATTGAACCCGGGACACCCTGGTTTGAAGGCCGATGCTCTAACCACTGAACCAAACTAGCCAGGGCTTAAATGAGTTTTTAATAGTAGATGTCACAGTACAGCAGTGTAGATTACAATTCTGCAAAAGGTGGTAAAAGATAGAATGTAGCCGTTTTCCAAAACATGTGACCACAGATCCTTCTGAACAGTGTGCTCTGAAGCACTCGTGGTTTGTGGATTCCACAGTGGTGGTTCTCAGTGAGGAGAGAGATGCACGACATTCTTGTGGGTTTCTGATCTGGTGCATTTAGTCCCGAATTTACCAACAAATGGGATGAGGTCTACCATTTTGTCATGGATAGTTATAGGTAGGATACCAGTTTATTGACCCCCTCAGGCTTTGGGGTGGCCATATGGAGTTTGGGACATCTAGATCTCCTAGAACTAGTTATGGGTATGGGTGATTGGTAGAGAGAGACTTCATCTAAGATAAGCCTTAGTCCAGCATACCTTAAAACTATCATTTTCTCGCCCAGCCAGTGTGGCTCAGAGTTGAGCGTCGACCTATGCACCAAGAGGTTGCTGGTTAAATTCCCGGTTAGGGCACATGCCCAGGCTGTGGGCCAAATCCCCAGTGGGGGGTGTGCAGGAGGCGGCCAATCAATGTTCTCTCTCATCAATATTTCCATCTCTCTCCCTTCCTCTCTCAAAAAAAAAAAAAAAAAATCAATAAAGAAAAAGAATTTTTTTTAAACACAAAACTATCATTTGCTCTCTATGCCTTGATGGGAAAAGGTTTGGATGTACCAACCCCAGAGCCTTATTATTATAATATGTATAAAAGTCCCTCTTTCCATTCTGTGACTTCTTCAGTGTTGGTTTCCTTTCTGCCCGTCCTTCGTTCCTGACATTGTCATAGTTATAGGTTATGTCTTATCCATAACTCAGGACTCACTATCTACTTCTTCTGTATAGATTCTCAGCTGATGATGGGGTTACTTTCTGCTAAACTTACCATAAGTTGAAAATATCATAAATCGAAAATGCATTTAATACACCTAACCTACCAAACATGATAGGTTACCCTAGCCTACTTTGAACATGCTCAGAACACTTACATGAGCCTCCAGTTGGGCACAATCTTCTAACACAATGGACACACTGTAGAGTATTGGTTGTTTATCCTCAAGATTGTGTGGCTGACAGGAGATAGGGCTGTTACGGCTGCCCAGCATTGTGAGAGAGGGTCACACCACATATTGGTAGTCCAGGAAAAGATCACAATTCAGAATTCAGAGTACTGTTTCTACTGCACGAGGATCACTTTCGCACCATCATAACATTGAAAGAATTGTAAGTAGAACCATCGTAAGTCAGGGACCAGCTGTATTTTTATCCTAATACTGTGCTCTTTTTACTTGACCCAATTTTTCACTCCTCTTTTCTCCCCAGACCTTCCTTGCCCCATTCCACCTTCTGTTATGCTATGTAGACTCTCTCTCTCACATCCTAACACACCCATGCGTTGACTTTTTCTACATTTCCTGATTGTAACTGAAACCTAACTCTTTCCTGAATGTACAGATTCCCCCGCAGCATTGTCAAAATGAAGGATTCTTAGTTTTTAGTCATTCTAGTGGGGGCTTCTCTTTACTCCTCAGTCGCTGGGTCTAAGTGAATGGTTATACATTCTCTTTCCTTTGAGACTTCGCTCCTCCTACTGGTCCCTAAGCCTAGTCACAGAGGTCTTGGCCCTCAGCTCGCTTTCCCTCCTCATTGTTAGTCCTGAGTGCTTCTCGTGTGATGTACATGGTCCATATCACCCTGTGACTCTTTAGTTCCTTAGGTTTTTCTTTATACAAGATCATGTCATCTGAGAATGGAGATCGTTTTACTCTTTTCTTTCCAATCTGGATACTTTTCTTTATTCTCTCCTCCGTGATCGCTGTGGCGAGAGCCCCCCCGCACAGGGTTGAGGAGGAAAGGTGAGAGCAGCCGCCTGCGTCTTGTGCCTGGAGTAGGAGCCGTGTGCTGTCTCCACTGTTAATGTGGTGTCAGTGTGGGTTTTCATAGTCACTCTGTCAAGTTGAGGGAGTTCTCTTCTGTTCACGTGCTCTAATGAGCATCTTTATCATGAGAGACTGTTAGATTTGCCAGGTGCATTTTGTGTCTATTGAGATAATAATTTTTTTCCCCTTTCATTCTCTTAATTTTGTGTATGACATTGACTGGTACCAACCTTGCATTTCTCAGGTAAATCCTACTTGGTCATGGTATACAATTCTTTGATATGTTGCTAGATTCAATTTGTTAGTATTTTGTTGAGGATTTTTCTGTAGACATAATAA